AACCGAAATGTACATCAGCAGAGACATTCAAAAACCGAGGTACCACTGTATATAAAAACATAACATCACACATTAAAAAACAAACTATCCTATACAGTCGTACCTCCTCTGGATACGTAAACTCTGGGGTGCAAACTTGGCAAATCCAGAAGTATTTTTCTGGGTTTCGCCACACGCTCATGCGCAGAAGCACTAAATCGCGCCACACACATGCGCAGGAATGGTCCTCCAGTTGCGAATTCCTCAGGATGCAGCTGGACTTCCGGAACGGATCCTGATCGCAACCAGAGGTACCACTGTGCAAACAACAAACAAACCAATAAATCTATAATAGCAAGAACAATAGTTACAGGTAGGTAGCTGTGCTGGTCTGCCATAGTCGAAAGAAAATAAAAAAATTCCTTCCAGTAGTGCCTTAGAAACCAACTAAGTTTGTTATTGGTATGAGCTTTTGTGTGCACGCACACTTTAGAGAAGCTTTTAATGTTTGATGTATTGCTGTATTTTAATATTTGGTTGGAAGCTGCCCAGAGTGGGTGGGGAAGCCCAGACAGATGGGCGGGGTATAAATTATTATTATTATTACAGTGGTACCTCAGGTTACATACGCTTCAGGTTACATACGCTTCAGGTTACATACGCTTCAGGTTACAGACTCCACTAACCCAGAAACAGTGCTTCAGGTTAAGAACTTTGCTTCAGGATGAGAACAGAAATCGTGCGCAGCGGCAGCAGGAGGCCCCATTAGCTAAAGTGGTGCTTCAGGTTAAGAACAGTTTCTGGTTAAGTACGGACTTCCGGAACAAATTAAGTACTTAACCCGAGGTACCACTGTATTATTAAGCAATAACAACAACAGCAGCAACAACAATAACAGTAACAGTAATAACAACAATAACAATAAACAGCTTACAGTTATACCCAAATTAAAATAACCATCAACCCCAACTAAACATTTAACCAACCCAACAAAAACAAAAGAGAGGAACCAAAATTAGAACCATTTAAAACATTTTAAAACAACTGAGACACTTGCCCCAACCCAAGAGTTGTTTCAGCAATGTCCCTCCGGCATCCGAAGATTCAGCTGTTCAAGGTGAGTCTGGGCCAGGTGGAAATGGACTTTGTGGCAGGGAGTGGTCTTCCTTCCAGTAGAGTGGCAATGTATTGGTAGTGACGTGTTCGCTGCTGTGAGGGAAGGGCAGGATACGCAATTAATAAATATATAAGAATAAAAGAAATGAATTCCCTGCTGTCCTGCGAAGTTCCAGAAGCGAGCGGCCTGCTGATGTGTTCTTCTCCTCAGGATCACCACGATATGCTGCTGGAGATAGAGAGAGACAAGGCCATCACGGACAAGGTCATCCTCATCCAGAAAGTGGTCCGTGGATTTAAGGACAGGTATGAAGCTTGGCTGGAGACAACAACTCTCACTAACATTTCTTTTTTTATAATAAATTTTTATTAGATTTTCCACAGTGATAACACAAACCACAAAGCAAAATGATACACAAAAACAGAAAAAGAAAAAGAAAAAAGAAGGGGGGGAAGGGGGAACAATAAACAGATAAACAATAACAACAAACTTAATTCTTCACAAATCCAACCTTGTAAACATCTTGGCTGACGTCCTCAAATCCCTCCCTTCTGAGTCTCCTTGTAATTAAAGGTAACAGCTTTCCAATATCATTATTAAACTAAAATAATTTCCAATTATAGTCCATCTTATTCACTTTTCTTAACATTCTAAATCCCATTTATTTAATTATAACTTAATTTAATCCTAGGCCTATTTGTTTCTTTCAAGTAATTTCTAATTTTTTATATTACAATATTTATTCAAATAGTCCTTGAATTTCCTCCAGTCCTCTTGAAACTCCTCTTCTTTCTGGTTGCGGATTCTTCCAGTCAGGTCAGCTAGCTCCGAAAAGTCCATCATCTTCATCTGCCAATCTTCCACTGTTGGTAGTTCTTGTGTTTTCCAATTTTTAGCAAGCAATATTCGGGCGGCCGTTGTGGCATACAAAAATAATTTAACATCTTTCTTGGGCAATTCTAAACCCGTTATTCCAAGAAGAAAGGCCTCTGGTTTCTTAATAAATGTATATTTCAACATTTTTTTCAGTTCATTATAAATCAGATTTAATGATACTTAGAATGTATTTGTCGAAACCATAGTGCCACATAGATTAACTTATAAACAATATGTTTATCCATCCACATATATACTATATCGTTTTGTAGTGTTAAGTACATTTTTTCTTATTTTGTTATTGCTGTTTTCCCTTTTTTTTATAAAAAAAATCTAATGCATTCCATTCCTCTCTTCTTGTTTTCAATTCTTTCCTTTTTCTTCTTTATTTACTTTAATTTACTATAATCACCTCAATTTAATCTTATTTTTTAAAACAATTAAAAATCCCTGAGCTTGCAAAACATCTTTAATCGGTCTCCTTAACCAGGGAGGGCATGGCATGCAAACAGGGCATCTTTCCACCTTGAACCGCTTGGGTTGTTAGCAAACTTGGCCACCTAACTGCTCATCCCTGACTCCAGATCAATTAGGAACAAGTTTAAAAAATACGGGTCCCCAAACCTATCCTCAGGGGAACCCACTTTCTATATCCCTCGTCCCTCGGAAGGACTGCCCGTTTATTCCTACTGTCTTTCCGAAACAAGGCGCAAGATGAAACAGAGTGTCATCCTTTGAATTTTGCGATAACAGATTGAGGCTGAATCCTGACAAGACAAAAGTACTGTTTTGGGGGGGACAGGAGGCAGGCAGGTGTTTATATCATTGCGACCCGCCCATGGACTTCATGGTGGGAGGCAGATAAGAAATCAAATCAACAAATGTCCAAGTGGAACAGGCCTATTCCCCTAAAAATGGCTTTGGGGCTGGTTAATGAAGTGAGGACTCTTTCCCTACACCTTTGAGTTAATATGTAAAGGAACGGGTCAGCAAAAACAATTGTTCAGGCTTCTTGCTCAAGAATAAATTTCTTATTTGTTCTTTGGACTCTTGTTTCCTGAAAGCGCCTGCTCTCGAAGGTTTGAATTTGGTCAAAGATTGCTTCCCCTTTCAGCATCCAAACACCAATGGAGCAATGCTCTATGGACATTAGGGTACAATTTGTTTCCTGTTTGTAGTTTTAATGTGAAATCAGAAAGGTGCTTTGAATGAGATTGTGAGCTGTACGTGACAATAGAGCGATTGTATTTGTCCGCCTTTCTGAGGTAATCCGTAAAGAATTGTGTTTCTTCCTGGGTCAGGGCTTAAAAACAAAGAGTGCACGAGGAGAAAAATGGATTGCAACTGTCTCTTCCCCAGGTCCAATTTCCTGAAAGTGAGGAATGCAGCTCTGATGATCCAGCGGACCTGGAGGGGGCATAACTGCCGAAGAAATTATGACGCTGTGAGTATGCCCGAAGCATGCAGGATAATAATAATAATAATAATAATAATAATAATAATAATAATAATAAATTTTATTTATATCCCGCCCTCCCCAGCCGAAGCTGGGCTCAGGGTGGCTAACAACAATCAAAATAATCCGACATTCTAAAAACATTCATTATAAAATTAATTAAAATCAAATTAAAATCAAATTGATGGCAACCATTAAGCAAAATTCTGTGCAGATTGCCAGGATTCTGGACCGATTGCCTAACCAGCGGTGGAGCAAGCTGATTGGGCGACTGGGGCAGTGCGCATGCCCTCTGCCCAGGGGCGGGGCCAACTGCCTGTGGGGGTGGGGCCAGCCGCCCATGGGGCGGGGCCAGCTGGGGCAGGATGCTCTGTGGGGCCTCTGAGGAGTCTGCCTGCCTCCTCCCGCTCAGCTGCCCTACAGCTGAGGGAGAGGCAGCGGGCAAACTGTTTGGGGCAGCACGGAGCCTGCGGGTGCCCAAGCCATCATGTCACTCCCAGGAGAGATGTGTGGCTCGGGCGCACTGCAGGCCTCATGGTGAGTGTTGCCTGGCCTTTTGTCACCCCCCTCAGTGGTGACACCTGGGGCGTACCGCCCCCACCGCACCCCCCCTTCCTTCGCCCCTGCGGCCCAGTCCCCTGAGTTCTTTGCTTCACCCATGCTACCACTGTTCGCATTAGAGCTCAAAACCACAGAGCCTAGGATTTGCCGATCAGAAGGTTGGTGGTTCGAATCCCCGCGACAGGGTGAGCTCCCATTGCTCGGTCCCTGCTCCTGCCAACCTAGCAGTTCGAAAGCACGTCAAAGTGCAAGTAGATAAATAGGTACCGCTCCGGTGGGAAGGTAAACGGCGTTTCTGTGCGCTGCTCTGGTTCGCCAGAAGCGGCTTAGTCATGTAACTCCCAGGAAAGACGCGTGGCTCAGGCACTCTGCAGGCCCCGCGGTGAGTGAGGCCTGACATTTTGTCAGCCGCCCTCAGTGGTGACACCTAGGGTGGCCAGCTCCCGCCGCACCCCAATTCCTCTGCCCCTGTGCCTACGCAGCCCAGGATTGCCTATGGCTGACTAGCCATGGCTCCCCAAAGTCTCAGCATGGTCAAGATCAAGACTGAGACAACCCGCTATGTGTCTTCACCCCCCAAGGCTGAGTTGCACCTTTAGAACAGAGGTGCTCCTCTAGACTACAGCAGGGATGGAAATAATGAATAGGGTAAGGGACGTGGGTGGCGCTGTGGGTTAAACCACAGAGCCTAGGATTTGCCGATCAGAAGGTTGGTGGTTCGAATCCCCGTGACGGGGTGAGCTCCCGTTGCTCGGACCCTGCTCCTGCCAACCTAGCAGTTCGAAAGCTCGTCAAAGTGCAAGTAGATAAATAGGTACTGCTACGGCGGGAAGGTAAACGGCGTTTCCGTGCGCTGCTCTGGTTTGCCAGAAGCGGCTTAGTCATGCTGGCCACATGACCCGGAAGCTGTACGCCGGCTCCCTTGGCCAGTAAAGCGAGATGAGCACCGCAACCCCAGAGTCATCCGCGACTGGACCTAATGGTCAGGGGTCCCTTTACCTTTACCTTAAGGGCCCATAGCTTAGTGGAAGAGCATCTGCTTTGAATGCAGAAGGTTGCAGGTTCGATCCCCGGGTTAATCTAGATCAGTGCGCTTTATGTGTAGGAATTGCTCCCTGAATTGCTCCCCCGCTTACTCCCCCACCCCAACAGATGAGGATCGGCTTTCTGAGGCTGCAAGCCCTCTACCGCTCCCGCAAGCTGCACAAGAGGTACCACATGGCCCGCAAGCGCATCATCGAGTTCCAAGCCAAGTGCCGGGGGTTCTTGGTGCGTAGAGCCTTCCGCCATCGCCTCTGGGCTGTCTTCACCATCCAAGCATACGCCAGGGGCATGATCGCTCGACGCCTGTATAAGCGGTTGAAGGGAGAGGTAAGTGTGCTTCTTGCGTTGCCCTTAAAGGCCAGCCTGAGGCATATTTCTATTTTTTAATTTACTAGGGTCTGCTCCCCTGTTTGCTCCACTCGCCAGCCCTGCCTCCCCTCTTTCCTCACACCTAGCCAGCCCCAGAGCACCTCCCCCCCCCCATTAAACATCTCGCCTGGGCCACCTGCTTACCCACACTGCTTGCTCACTCACGCAGTTGCCTGCCTGCTGGTCTGACTTTACACTGAACTGCAGCGTGACGACCACCTTACATGTTTGTTTATATAGGAAGATACCTTATCCGTCCTTCACTATAAGGTCCCAAGGTAGGCCACAAAACAAATACAACTGTTCCAAATGGAACAGAAAAGTAGTAATTTAATGAAAGAGGTGCATCTCATAAAACAAAAATACATTTATAGTTCAGCAGAGTATATTGTTGGGAGGGGCTGTGGAGCTGAAAAGTGTCTGTGATAGATATCTTAGGTATGGGATATCCTAGGGTTTGATGAGGGCCGGCGTGTTGTTTTAGTTTTAGTACGTTTCCGAGCACAATTCAAAGTATTGCAGCTAACCTTTAAAGCCCTAAACGGCCTTGGTCCAGTATACCTGAAGGAGCATCTCCACCCCCATCGTTCTGCCCAGATGCTGAGGTCCAGCGCCGAGGGCCTTCTGGCAGTTCCCTCACTGCAAGAAGCCAAGTTACAGGGAACCAGGCAGAGGGCCTTCTCGGTAGTGGCGCCCTCCCTATGGAACGCCCTCCCACCAGATGTCAAAGAGAACAACAACTACCAGACTTTTAGAAGACATCTGAAGGCAGCCCTGTTTAGGGAAGCTTTCAATGTTTAATAGGTTATTGTATTTTAATATTCCTTTGGAAGCCACCCAGAGTGGCTGGAGAAACCCAACCAGATGGGCAGGGTATAAATAAATTAGTAGTAGTAGTAGTAGTAGTAGTAGTAGTAGTAGTAGTAGTTAGTGTTGAACTAGGACCTGGAGGAGCCAGGATCTGTGACCCACTTGGTCACAGAACCATAGGATTGTAGAGTTGGAAGGAGCCCATGGGTCATCTAGTCCAACCCCCTGCAATGAAGGAATCACAACTAACCCCTTTCTCCCGGTACCCACTCCTCAGTGTCCAGTCAAGTCCCTGACATCTGCCCCCTCTTCGTGGGTGATTCCCGCCCCCCCAAAACAAAATTGCTTTCCGTTCCACCAGGGGAAAGATATTGAGTTTACAAACCTTCTCTCCAGAGGAGAGAAAATTAGATGGGGAAAGGAGACTTTGGGTGCTCAGAAAGTATGCCCCCTGCCCACTACAGCTGCCATCAAATGCCAAGTCACCACAGCCTTCATTTCATATGTCTCCTGCCTCATACCTTTTTTTAAAAAATGATTTTTTTATTAAATTTTCCATTTTTATCATTATCACATTTTGTTACATAATTCTATAACTTAATACATTACTCTAAGAGCATCAACCTCCTTCCCTTCCCCTTTCTGACTTCCACACATCTTTCTGTATTTTTCGCATTCTTATAATCGCATGTTTACCTTCTATCTTATTATAATTTTTCACCTTGTTATCGGTAAATCTGTTCCTTATATTTACATTGCAAAACATTTCAGTTCAAACCTACAAGCGTTTTCAGATGTTTACAATTTTCTTTCATATAAAGTAGAAATTTGTTCCAGTCCTTTTGAAACAGTTCGTCACGCTGATTCCAGATCTTCCCCGTCAACTTGGCCATCTCTACATACTCTACCATCTTCGCCTGCCAATCTTCCAGTGTTGGAAGTTCCTGCTGTTTCCATTTTTGTTCATTTCATATATCTCCTGCCTCATATCTAGCTTGGCCCCAAGTTGCGTGGCGACTTCCCGCCTCCCCCCCTCAGAAATAAAGACACGAGACACAAGAATTCGAGTTAATGGGTCAAATTAGGCCACAATTTTATTGATTACAGGAATTGAGCGGTATTGGCTTAGGCATTGGTCATAACAACTAACCGGCTTCAGCTTGGCTGCAAGCTTGAAGGCCGGTGAGGGTTAACCACCAGTAGGGGGAGTCCTGCTGAGGCACGTCAACTAGGACCTCCCTCCGGGGTCACCGCGCGGGGGCGTGTCATGGGCCCACACCTCCATAGGCTTACGACAAGGCCACGCCCCTGGAATCCTTTACCGGACTACCCTTTGATTTCGGGGAAGGTGATGGCGCTACCTTCCCCGCTTCATTTGCATAACAATAGGACAGTACCCCTACCAATGCCTAACCGCCAATACCGAAGAGTTGTGACGGTTTGCTACGAGGTAGGCGAAAACCAAATGGCTGGTGCCAATCTGCCATTTGGGAAAATTCCTACCAGGCCCCTTGACGGCGACCAACCGAAGTCCATAGCGACGTCAGAGAGCCTAGCCTAGCGGGTGGGAGGGAAGGGGAAACCAGGTCAGCTGCGGCGCGGGAAAGAGGGAGACCCTTGGCCGCACCAGACCTAAGTAAGGCGAGGCCACGCCCCCCGAGCCAGCCGATTGGCTGTCTAGTGGTATGACGTGTCCGAGGATTCCCTGGTATCGCGGGGGCTGAAGCCAGCCCCTGCGAGTGTGGGGAGGGGCTTGAAGCCCGCAACCCCACCTCCTCCCTAGTTTGGAAGTGGCTTTCTCCCTGGTTGCCATTCACCTTCTAAACTGCAGGCTGGGTAATGAATGGAGCAACCCATTCAAGCAGCGCTTCTGAATTTCCTTCTCCCAGTACCGCCGCCGCCTGGAAGCAGAAAAACTCCGCCTGCTAGAAGAGGAACGCCTGAGGAAGGAGATGAGTGCCAAGAAAGCGAAAGAGGAAGCGGAGAAGAAACACCAAGTGGGTTGACGCTTATGCTCTGTGTACCTTTCTTTTGTGGCGCAGAATCCACCATTCCTGGGTGTCCCTAGGTCTCATATTAGTTGACACAGCCCTTAAGAACTTGGGACCGGAAGAAGAGTTTGGATTTGATATCCCGCTTTATCACTACCATATCACTTCCATAGTTCTGTTAGGCTGATTTATATTATCTCTGTAGTAAGCTAGCTTAATCATATTTACTATGGTCCAAATCTTTTCAGTCCATTCAGATATAGTAGGAGATATGCCCCCTCCTCATTTTTTAACCTATTTTTAAATTTCTTTTAATGTAAGCGGTAATTTATTAATTTTTCAAATAATCTTTATTAGTTTTTCAATTAGATACTCCACATACACATATTGTATTACATTTTACATTTATACTTGCTCTTCAGAGCTGACTTCCCTCCTTCCTTTGTCTGGTTTTTTTATAATTTTATTGCATTATTTTCTTCCATTTTATATATTGTCATTCATTTTCCATATTTGTCCATAGTGTATCCATAAACAAACAATTCCTCATGTTTATACAATTCTTGTTGTCTGCCTGTATTCATTTACCACGGCTGTTAGTTATATTAGTTTCCTTCAACATTTTGCTTCTTATTATTTTCATTATCCATCACTTTTCTTAATCTTTCCCGTTACGAGGTTTGTTTCCAATTCTGCTGGTTTTACTGTTTCATCTTATCTTTCCTATATACAACATACATTTTCCCCATTCTTTTTGAAATGTTTCCTTGCCCTGCTGTCGAATTTCCCCTGTTAGTTTGGCTATTTCTGCATATTCCATTACCTTCTGTCGCCATTCTTCTAGTGTTGGTAATTGTTGCTGTTTTCAATGGTGGCGCCATTGATTTGCCTAGACCATTGTCTCTTGGCAAGAAATGGTGGCCCTGGGATTTTGTGTCGCGACGACTGAGCAAAAGGGGTAGAGCTTTTGCCTGGCGCCCGTGTGCCTCTCGGATCCTGGTTACTCATTGCCACAGCTCTCTCTTAGATACGCCTGGCCCAGCTGGCTCGGGAAGACGCAGAAAGGGAAGTAAAGGAAAAAGAAGAAGCGCGGCGCAAGAAGGAGCTCTTGCAGAAAATGGAAAAGGCCCGAAACGAACCCGTCAACGACTCTGACATGGTGGACAAAATGTTTGGCTTCCTGGGAACCACGTCGTCTTTTCCTGGCCAAGAAGGGCAGGCGCCCAATGGGTTTGAGGTAACTGGAAGGAGACATTAACACACACACACACCCCACTCCATATCATGGTTCGGCTAGCATGTTGAGGAAGCAGCTTCCCCAACTTGGTGCCCTCCAGATGTTTGCGACTACAATTGCCATCATCCTTATCCAGCACCGAGTTGGGGCGACGCTGGTTTAGAGAAGCAATGTATCAAATTACCGTACTTTTCCGTGTATAAGACTATGCTTTTTCCTTTAAAAATCCTGCTAAAAAGTGGGGGTCGTCTTATACATGGGTAGTGCATATGGTTGGCGGTTGATTGGTTGCTGCCAAGGCTGTCAGCGGCTATTGTGCATTTTATTGGTTGCTGCATCAATGGGTGGTGCTGATTGGCTGACACTCCGGCAGCTGTGCGGGTGATTGGCAGCTTCTGCCAGCTATGGGACAGTCAGGAGGTGGATTTAGCGATCCGTGTGGGTGAGCGATTTTCGGCAATCTCCCCCTGGGTAATTCCCCCCCCCAAAAAAAGTTCAACAACTCTGGGCAACCCTCCACAAAAAAAAGCGCTCAACAACTCTGTGCCATCTCCTCCCATTTTCTTAAATTTGAGTCCCCCAAAATAGTTGGCGACTTATACATGGGGGCATCTTATACACGGAAAAGTAGAATCATAGAATCATAGAGTTGGAAGAGACCACAAGGGCCATCGAGTCCAACCCCCTGCCAAGCAGGAAACACCATCAGAGCACTCCTGACATATGGTTGTCAAGCCTCTGCTTAAAGACCTCCAAAGAAGGAGACTCCACCACACTCCTTGGCAGCAAATTCCACTGTCAGGAAGTTCTTCCTAATGTTTAGGTGGAATCTTCTTTCTTGTAGTTTGGATCCATTGCTCCGTGTCCACTTCTCTGGAGCAGCAGAAAACAACCTTTCTCCCTCCTCTATGTGACATCCTTTTCTATATTTGAACATGGCTATCATATCACCCCTTAACCTCCTCTTCTCCAGGCTAAACATGCCCAGCTCCCTTAGCCGTTCCTCATAAGGCATCGTTTCCAGGCCTTTGACCATTTTGGTTGCCCTCCTCTGGACACGTTCCAGTTTGTCAGTGTCCTTCTTGAACTGTGGTGCCCAGAACTGGACACAGTACTCCAGGTGAGGTCTGACCAGAGCAGAATACAGTGGCACTATTACTTCCCTTGATCTAGATGCTATACACCTATTGATGTACAGTACAGTAAGTACAGTAAGCCTAGGAAGGAAGAGCTTACCCCAAAATTCCAGTATCTTCTCCCAGCCCAAAAGCCATCCAGAGTTGATTTGCAGTTAGGCTCAGCTTTTTTTGTTGTTGTGAAGGTGATTTGTGGGAAGTGGGGAGAGGCAACATCGTGTATGGGACGTCCCGACGTCGGGAAGAGCTGGTGGCCACATGGCTTCAATGGCCGGCGGCTCCTCCTCCTAGCGCCGCCACTGGCAGAAGGAGGAGGAAAAGGAGTTGGCCACTGGAACCTCACTTCATTTGGCTCCACGATTCGCCTCCACGCTTTTTGGACCTTGGAGGGGCCCAGCCCACACACCCAAAAATTTTGGGGGGCCCAAAAGGGTTCAGCTCCCAAGAGCTGGTGCCCCTGACCCAGACTGAACCAGGTTAAATCTCCACTGGTTCCCTCCCCAGGATCTTGAGAGGGCGCAAAAGGAGTTGGAGGAAGATGACCTTGAAACAGCCTTGCCCTTGCCAGAGGAGGAGGAAGAGGACCTCTTGGAGTACAAATTCGCCAAGTTTGCCGCTACGTACTTCCAGGGCACGACCACACAAACCTACATACGCCGCCCCCTCAAGCAGCCGCTCCTGTACCACGAGGATGAGGGAGACCAGCTGGTGAGTCTGTGTGAACAGCTCTGGAGAAGAGCAGTAATGGTTGCGTGGCGAGTTCCCGCCTCCGCCCAGTGGAAATAAAGACACATGACACAGATATTTAAGGTTAATGGGCTAAATATGGCCACAACTTTATTGGTTACAGGTGATGAGAGGTATTGGCTTAGGCATTGGTCCTAACCGACTATCCGGCTTCAGCCTGTTCGCTTGAAGTCCGGGAAGGGTTAATCACCAGTAGGGGGAGTCCTGCTGATGCACATCAACTAGGAACTCCCCTGGGGTCACCGCTCTGGGGCGTGCCTTAGGCCCTCACCTCCATAGGCTTTGGACAGGGCCACGCCCCCCGGAATCCTTTATCGGACTACCCTTCAATATGCGGGGGAGGTGATGGTGCTTCTTCCTCCCTTCCATCTACATAAGAATACCAATACCAGTGCCTAACCGCCAATACCAAGGAAGTTGTGACGATTTGCTACGAGGTAGGTGAAAAGCCAAGTGGCTGGTGCCAATTTGCCAAGTGGAAAAATTCCCACCAGGCCCCTCAACTGCGACCAACCGAGGTCCATAGCAAGGTCAAAGATGAAAACCTTAAAGGGCGGGAGGGTGGGAAACTGGAGCAGCTGGAAGCGGCAAAGAGGGAGATTCCAGGCCGCCCCTGCATTAAATGGAGCTGGCCACGCCCCCAGGCCAGCTGATTGGCTGGCCAGGGGATGATGCGATCGGGATTCCCTCAATCGCGCGGAGGCTGAGAGCCAGCCCCTGCGCGCATGGTGGGAGGGTGAAGCCTGCAACCCCACCTCCTTTCTACGTCAGAAGTGGCTTTGTGTTAACTAGCCCTCTGAAACCAGTAGCGGTTGTGTGAATTGGCCCTGTGAATCTTACCTGATTTTGTCCACTCCTGGTTTTTCCCACAAGCTTTCTTCATCTTGGCTGTGAGTCCTGGAAGACCTGCTCCCTGCCTTGCAGGCCCTTTTTTCCACCTGGCTTGGGAGGACAGGGCCTGGAGTGACTCCAACTACGAAATCTGAGACTGCTGAACAGAATATTGGCCTGGGAGGGTGTTGGAAAGGGGTGTTGTTGCTGTTAATTTTTTGTATCCTTATCTTTGATCTTATGATTTATGTGGGACTTGTTCAATTTGGTTGTGTACTTGAAATTTTGTTTACTGCTTGTGAGTACTGAAATATACTCAGAGTCTAGAGTGGATTTCATGCTCTTTATTCAGCTCATAGTGGTGAGGAGAAATGAAAGTTTCCCCAAAGTATCTGCTTTATATACATTATTTACACAATGGGCTGCACGTGATTGGCTAATTCCGGGATTCTCCTGTAGGCCAATCAGGCTGTGGATTCACTTCCATCTGGAGCTGGATTGGGTGGCTCCTGCAGACCAATCATACTGCTGCATTGTTCTAGGACCAATCAGACTGCTGCATTTTGGATCCTATTGTTCTAGGATCAATCAGACTGCTGCATTTTGGATCCTATTAAACTCAGTACATAGCAAGTACTTTTGTCATTTTTTTAGTCGCATAACTTTTTGATATTTTGCAAGCTGCTTTCAGCATGGTTCTAATGTTGTAAAGGCGGCGTACAGTCTAATTTCAGCAGTCTAATTTAGAAGGGAGGGGAAAGATTATTGTTGAAGAAAGTATGGAAGTCGGAATCCTTGGTGATGCATTTGGAGAGCCGCCTCTGCCTGCCCCTGCAAGGATAACTGACAAGTTGATGATTACGGTTCTTTTTTAAAAATAAAACAGGCAGCCCTTGCGGTGTGGATTACGATTCTTCGCTTCATGGGTGACCTTCCTGAGCCCAAATACCACACAGCAATGAGCGATGGCAGCGAGAAAATCCCGGTGATGACCAAAATTTATGAGACCCTGGGGAAGAAGACGTACAAAAAAGAACTTCAAGCTCTGCAAGGCGAAGCAGAGGTAAGAGGCAGGGGAGCAGAAATGTGTTTAATACCAGTGGATGGTATAAAGGAGGAGTTAAATGAATAAAAACCAACCTATTAGAATTTAAGGAGCCACAAGAAACTCTGCCGTAGTCAGTGAGAATTTAGTTCGCAAATTGCAAGTTGAGATCCCAGTTTTCATCTAAGGTTGAATTTCATTTTGCTGATTCTTACTATGGTGGTCTTTTGTATGGGTGGGGTATAAATGATAAAGTTGTTGTTGTTGTTGTTGTTCCCTCGGCCAATAAAGCAAGATGAGCGCCGCAACCCCAGAGTCGGTCACGACTGGACCTAATGGTCAGGGGTCCCTTTACCTTTTAATGCACGGGGACACGGGTGGCGCTGTGGGTTAAACCACAGAGCCTAGGACTTGCCAATCAGAAGGTCGGCGGTTCGAATCCCCGCGACGGGGTGAGCTCCTGCTGCTTGGTCCCCGCTCCTGCCCACCTAGCAGTTCGAAAGCACGTCAAAGTGCAAGTAGATAAATAGGTACTGCTCTGGCGGGAAGGTAAATGGCGTTTCCGTGCGCTGCTCTGGTTCACCAGAAGTGGCTTAGTCATGCTGGCCACATGACCCGGAAGCTGTACACCGGCTCCCTTGGCCAATAAAGCAAGATGAGTGCCTCAATCCCAGAGTCGGTCACAACTGGACCTAATGGTCAGGGGCTCCTTTACCTTTTAATGCACTTTGACGTTCTGGTTGTGATGCAAACATAATACTGAGAGCCTTTTCTCCTTTTTGGGGGCTAATCTCCACATCCAAAGAGAAACCCATGAAGCTATTATTGGCACATTTATAAGGCTCTGCAGTTTAAAAATTGGAAGCACTGGATTTTTTTTTTTATCTTGTCCTATTTCATGGTAAACCTAAGAGGCACATGGTGTTCTCATTTTAGTGACCAGGGAAGTGAGGCTTATCTCAGTGCCTTATGCAAGACTTCTTAAATGACTTGGAGTGCAATCGCTTTTTGCAGCTTCACTTTCCCAAATTTGCAAAACGGGGGTGCCAGCTGCCCTGCAGGGTTGGCATAATTCGAACCCAGACCTCCCAAACCCATGCAGAGCACTGTGTTGTGCACATGGAATCAGTTCTCTCAAGCTCAGTTGGCAGAGCGTAGGACTCTTCATCTCAGGGCTGTGAGTTTGAGCCCCACGTTGGGCAAAAGTTTCCTGCATTTCTAGAGGGTTGGTCTAGATGACCCTTGAGGTCCCTTCCAGCTCTACAGTCCTATGGAATAAGACTGTTCCTCTTGCCTTTGCAGAGCGCCCACATAGACAGCCACAAGAAGAACAGCGTGCGGCACAAGCTGGTCTCCTTGACCCTCAAGAAGAAATCCAAGCTCACCGAAGAGGTGAGCAATAGTTCTTTGCAGCTTGGGAATCACAAGTTCTCTGTTAGCGGTCCACCATCTGGACCCCTTGGTCAGCTGCTGTGGCTCCCAATGCCCTGGCAGGGCCCATCAGCGCATACCCAGGGATGCCACTTGGATACAGGCTGGGTGTTCATCAGTATGCGGATGACACCCAGCTCTACCTCTCTTTCAAATCGGAACCAGTGAAAGCGGTGAAGGTCCTATGTGAGTGTCTAGAGGCGGTTGGAGGATGGATGGTGGCTAACAGATTGAGGTTGAATCCTGACAAGACAGAAGTACTATTTTGCGGGGACGGGGGAGGGCGGGTGTGGAGGACTCCCTGGTCCTGAATGTGGTAACTGTGCCCCTGAAGGACCAGGTGTGCAGCCTGGGAGTCATTTTGGACTCACAGCTGTCCATGGAGGCGCAGATCAATTCTGTGTCCAGGGCAGCTGTTTATCAGCTCCATCTGGTACACAGGCTGAGACCCTACCTGCCAGCGGACTGTCTCGCCACAGTGGTGCATGCTCTGGTTATCTCTTGCTTGGACTACTGCAATGCGCTCTATGTGGGGCTACCTTTGAAGGTGACCCGGAAACTACAACTAATCCAGAATGTGGCAGCTAGACTGGTGACTGGGAGCAGCCACTGAGACCATATAACAGCGGTCCTGAAAGACCTACATTGGCTCCCAGTACGTTTCCGAGCACAATTCAAAGTGTTGGTGCTGACCTTTAAAGCCCTAAGCGGCCTCGGCCCAGTAGACCTGAAGGAGCGTCTCCACCCCCATTGTTCTGCCCGGACACTGAGGTCCAGCTCCAAGGGCCTTCTGGTGGTTCCCTCACTGTGAGAAGCAAAGCTACAGGGAACCAGGCACAGGGCCTTCTTGGTAATGGCGCCCTCCCTGTGGAAAGCCCTCCCACCAGATGTCAAAGAGATAAACAACTACCTGACTTTTAGAAGACATCTGTTCAGGGAAGTTTTTAATGTGTGACATTTTAATGTATTCTTAATCTTTGTTGGAAGCCGCCCAGAGTGGCTGGGGAAACCCAGCCAGATGGGCGGGGTACAAATAATAAATTATTATTATTATTATTATTATTAGCCTCACTATCTTGCCTGCCTGCCTGCCTGGGAAACCAGGAATGACTGACCTCTGTTTGCTTAGATCATCCCTCCTTCTTGGTGGTGGGCATCCCTGTAGCTCATGACAGGGAAGAACCCAAACTTGGTGGTAAAGCAACCATGGTCAGAGGCAATAACGCTTCTGAATATCCGCTGCTGGAAGGGAGAGAGCTCTTGTGCTCAGGTCCTGATCCCTGGTTTCCCACAGGCATTTGGCTGCTGGCCACTGTGAGAGCAGGATGCTGGACTAAGTGGGCCATTGGCCTGATCAAGCAAAGCCCTTCTTATAGAGAAGGTCTTTAGTTCAATCACTGGCATCTCCACCCAGGGCTGGAAAAGACTCCTGTCTGAAACCCTACAGAGCTGCTGCAGTGCAGAGCAGTGTTTCTCAAACGTGCAGCTTCCATTGGACCACAACTCCCATCATCCCTTAGTTAGTCCTGCTAGCTAAGGATGATGGGAGTTGTAGTCCAACAGCAGCTGGGGACCAGACCTTGAGAAACACAGCACAGAATGGCTATTTATTGATTTCATTCACAAATCGCTTCCTGTGAAGCATCTCAGAACTGTAAGTATATGGCAGGTATAAGGCAGTCCTCTCCTGGTATGCCCCGCGGAGGACCTTAAGGTCCATAAATGACAACATTTTGGAGGTCCCAGGTCGCAAGGTGGTTAGATTGGTCTCAACTAGGGCCAGGGCCTTTTCAGTACTGGCCCCGACTTGGTGGAACGCTCTGTCACAAGAGACCAGGGCCCTGCGGGACTTTAGATCTTCCGCAGGGCCTGCAAGACAGAGCTGTTCCACCAGGCCTTTGCTTTGGACTCAGTCTGACCCGTATGTTTCCCTCCCCTTATGGTTTTGACTTTTAAAATGAGGCTGCATTTTAAATTGCATTTTAACCTGTATTTTAAATTTTTTTCTTATGTTTTTACTGAAATTTTATTGGTGTTAGCCGCTCTGAGCCTGGCTCTGGCCAGGGAGGGCAGGGTATAAATTTATTATTATTATTATTATATTTTGAAACTCTGGAGAGCTGCTGCAGCGCAGAGCAGTGTTTCTCAAATGTGCAGCTGCTGTTGGACCACAACTCCCATCATCCCTTAGTCCTGCTAGCTAAGGATGATGGGAGTTGTAGTCCAACAGCAGCTGGGGACCAGAGCTTGAGAAACACAGTACAGAACGGCTATGTATTTATTTATTTATTTCATAAATTGCTTCCTGCGAAGCATCTCAAAGCTGTAAGCATATGGCAGGTATAAGGCAGCTTCTTATGCTCCTGGTGGTTGTTTCCTACTTTATTTCTAGGGAGGGAAAAGGCAGAAGATAGCTGGAAGCCCTGCAGAACAACAAATAGGGAAGCTTTTAATGTTTAATGCATTACTGTATTTTAATATTTTGTTGGAAGCCGCCCAGAGTGGCTGCGGAAGCCCAGCCAGATGGACAGCGTATAAATTATTATTATTATTATTATTATTAGGGATAATAATAATAATAATAATAATAATAATAATAATAATTTATTATTTATACCCTGCCTATCTGCCTGGGTTTCCCCAGCCACTCTGGGCGGCTTCCAACAAAACACTAAAATACAATAACATATTAAACATTAAAAGCTTCCCTAAACAGGGCTGCCTTCGGATGTCTTCTAGAATGTCAGGTAGTTGTTTATCGCTTTGACATCTGCTGGAAGGGTGTTCCACAGGGCGGGTGCCACTACCAAGAAGGCCCTGTGCCTGGTTCACTGTAACTTGGCTTCTCGCAGTGAGGGAACCGCCAGAAGGCCCTCGGAGCTGGACATCAGTGTCTGGGCAGAACGATGGGTGTGGAGACGCTTCTTCAGGTATACTGGGCCGAGGCTGTTTAGGGCTTTCAAGGTCAGCACCAAGACTTTGAATTGTGCTCGGAAACGTGCTGGCAGCCAATGTAGGTCTTTCAAGACCAGCTGTTATATGGTCTCAGTGGCTGCTCCCAGTCACCTTCAAAGGTAGCCCCACATAAAGCGCATTGCAGTTGTCCAAGCGGGACATAACCACAGTATGCACTACTCTGGAGAGTAACTACTCTGGCGTGTAACGATTTGTTGCAGTAGTCCAAGCGGGAGATAACTATGCAAGACTATGCAGAAATCAGCACCTTGGGGAGAGGGCAAGGGGTGGTTTCAGGACCATGGAGAGTGCTCTTGCAGCTGAGATCAAACATCCAAGTTTCCTCAGCAATGTCCTGGCTGAGTATTAGAGCAGAACTAGGTTGTCAAGGTCCCTACCCCTCAGTCTGTATGTGGGTGGGAGTTAGGGAGGGAGGGACAAAGCCTCGTTCACACATCTCGCAGGTTAACTCCTTCCCTCCCTCTGTTTTGTTAGGTGACCAAGCGTCTTCACGATGGTGAGTCCACCGTCCAAGGCAACAGCATGCTAGAGGACCGGCCTACCTCAAATTTGGAAAAGCTCCATTTCATTATTGGTAATGGCATCCTCAGGCCAGCATTAAGGTTAGATATTAGTATGAAAAAGAAGAAACATTCTGTATGGGCGTTAAAATGGTCACCGGGCCTTCTCTAGGGATGGTGGGGGAGGAATTCGATTCAGTTTGCATTTAAAGGAGAAACTTCGTAATTCACACTTTGCGAAACAATATGCAAACTGAAACAGCCGGCCTTTGAAATTTGCATGTTTCCAGATTTTGCAAAGCAGTTTCCCCGGAAAGTAATGTGTGCAAAGATGCATAGACTGGGGTAAAAGTGCAATATATGACAGAAAATGACATACAAAAAATGCATTGACAGAAAATTGCTTTGCTAATATGTGTACATTAGGCAAATTTGCATTTGCAAATGTATGAGTTAGGAATAATTTGCACTGCAATGCTGATTAATTTTTCATGTGGATTTTAAAAGAAAATTCACAATCTGATGTGTAAATGTGAAGAACAGAGTGGATAAAAGATTGGCAAAAATGAGAAAAACTGAAACGGAAACCCATTTTTCCCTAACATATTGTTCACACCCACCATTTCCTCCAAGTGGCAAGAAGTTCCAATGACAGCTCTGCCTGAGTTTGGTTTCCTTTGAATGACAGAGACCAGCATTCTAGGAATATTTGCCTCACTCATTTTTACCAATGTACAACCAGTGCATAACTGGAATCAAAAAGTAGGCACTCCTGCTACAAGGCAGCCAGGGGTGAGGGAGAAAGCCAGTTTGGTGAACCTAACTCATTCACACTTTCTGAATCAAACTGTGATCTGAAACACAGCTAGCCTTCAAAATTTCCCATTTATCCAAATTTTATGATGCAGTTCTCCAAGCAAATAATGTTTATGAATGCATAGATAGATAGATAGAGAGAGAGAGAGAGAGATGATAGATAGATTAGAGAGAGAGAGAGAGAGAGAGAGAGAGAGAGATGATAGATAGATTAGATAGATAGATTAGATAGATAGATAGATAGATATAGATAGATAGATAGATAGATAGATAGATAGATAGATAGATGATAGATAGATAGATAGATAGATAGATAGATAGATGATAGATAGATAGATAGATAGATAGATAGATAGATAGATGATAGATAGATAGATAGATAGATGATAGATAGATATATGATAGATAGATAGATAGATAGATAGATAGATAGATAGATAGATGATAGATAGATAGATAGATAGATAGATAGATAGATA